GACCCTGTCTCTACCAAAAAAAAAAAAAGAAAAAGAAAACTAGCCAGATGTGGTGGCATGTACCTGTAGTGTCAGCTAGTGAGGAGGCTGAGATGAAAGGATCCCTTGAGCCTTGGAGGTCGAGGCTGCAGTCATTGGGCCATAGTTGGGTCACCAAACTCCAGCCTGGGCAGGAGAAAGGGAGAGAGAGAGAGAGAGTGAGAGAGAGAAAAAGAGAAGGAAGGAAGGAAGGAAAGAGAGATAGAAAGAAAGAAAAAGTGAAAGAATGAAGGAAAGAAAGAAAGAAAAAGAGAGGGAGGGAGGAAGAGAAAGACAGGGAGGGAGGGAGGGAGGAAGAAGGAAGGGAGGGAGGGAGGGAGGAAGGGAGGAAGGGAGGAAGGAAGAAAAAAAGGAAAGAAAGAAGAACGCACACTTACACTTTTGCATGCAATTTCAGAGGATTGGTGTATCACTCTAAAGACCATCCAGGAACTTCCTTAGCTGAGCGTCTCTTATCTAGTCTACATCTTCATTTTATAATTGTTGAAAATCATTGCTTAGAAGAGGGGTTGGAAAACTGTGTCCCCTAAGCCAAATCTGGCTTACTTCTTGTTTTTGTACAGCCTGTGAGCTACAAATGATTTTTATAGTTAATGGTTATATAAGTACCAGTATATTAGCCTCAGTTCTACTATTTTAGGATCCTTCCTGTTATGCAGTACTTTAAAAATGGGATGGAAAGAATTATAATTACCATTACTTCACATGATATTTTGAATATACTTCTTTTAGAGATTTCTAAATACCTGATTGCTTACAGATTGTTTTCTTCTGTTGACTAGGGCTGCCTGAATAGTTTCAAACTCTATCTGAAAATAATGCAGTAATAGAATTAAAGGACTTTCATTTTCTAGCCTTTTGTAGAAAAAGTTTTCCAAGCCCTAGCCAGGAATGCTTAAATAATAGTCCCCCAAATTATGCAGCCAATTATCAGAAAACAGAGGACTAGAGTTCCCGCCACCTGATTCCTCATCCATTAGTCTTCCTGTTACTCTTACTGGCTGATTAAAATCCTGACTAATTAATTGAGTTAACCCCAATAATACAGAAAACAAAGACATGTAATTCTCAAGTACTTAATAAGAAATTTCTCAGATAAGTAACTGTGCAGTTGTGTAGAACACCGAAGTCCAGAGAATTAGTGATGTATCAAAAGCCACATAACAAAATTGTGAAAGAAACAAAATTAAATGCTTATAGTCAGGTTAAGTGTTACTGGCTTATTTAAAAAAAAAAACAAAAAAAACTTTGCATTGTATTTCATTCCACATATTTGAAAAATACTACTTCTTGGAAGTAGAAAATACTGGATAGAAGGTATTTTACTTAAAGTAAAATTATTAGAACACCGTTCCTCTTATTTATCTTATTTAAGAAGTTATTTCAGGATCATTCCTGTTATGTAATACTTTTAAAACGGGATGGAAAGAATTATAATTACCATTATTTCACATGATATTTTGAATATACTTCTTTTAGAAATTTCTAAGTACCTGATTGCTTACAGATTGTTTTCTTTCATTAACTAGGGCTGCCTGAATAGTTTCAAACTCTATCTGAAAATAATGCAGTAATAGAGTTAAAGAATTTTCATAATGAAAGAAAATTAAGATGTCACTTAAAAGATAAGCATTTGAATAATCACACATAAATTCAATAGTGCCAGGTGCCCTTAAAAATTCTATAATGTGTTTAGCCAGTTTTTTGAGAGATTCTGAAATCATTTGTGTTCATATTTATCAATTAAAATTAGGTTTTACCTTCAGAGAACATGTCCTGAACAGTAAGAATAGCACAATTCTTTCTATAAAGGAGGAGTTGTGGTCAGAGTGAATAAGCTTTGAATAAGCTTTCTTTTTATAGCAAAACTGTTGGAAGATTCTGAATTAGGATTATGCCAACTAATTCAGTGTGCTTTATTTCTATAGCATCTTCATTCATGTCTCCCCAAACTGAAGTCTTCTGCACTTACCTTGAAAAACCAGATTTCTCAGGAATGGCTATGGAAATGGGCCACATGTCTGCCTTCCAAATAGGATTCTGTTTGAACAGCAGGGCTGCTGGGGCACTTCCATGGTCGGCATGCATTTGCAAAGGCTCTGGACAGCTCACCAAGCAAAAGGAAGTGAGTGTGTTCTAAGTTCCTCAGAGTGTCAACAGATCATAAAACCTCAAAACCATTTCAAACACAATAGTGTTGAAAAACCAAGTTCTTAAAGACGAATTGTTCAAGTTGCAAAACTACAGAGAGGCCAACCGTCAAGAAATATTTTTGAAGGATTTATGACTACTATGAATCAAGTTTTAAAAACGTTATTTGAACTAAATTTTAGAGATAATGGGGAACAACACGATATTATCAAAAATGAAAAGGGAAGATGAGCTGTGTATTGTGCTTGTGGTGAAGGAATATGTGTAATTTTTTTTTTTTTCAGCAAGGAGAAAATTTCCAGAGTTGCTCTATACCGCACTGGTAACTTAGGGCTCCCACTCTTATAATTGTGTTAATTAGCTGTTACTGATAAATGACATTGACTGGGATATGACACTATAATTATGCCATTTAATTAGAATTAAGAGAGAAAATATTTAATATCAGAGTGTGCTATAGGGGCAGGGGAGGGGAGCAAATTTGTCACAGCTTCACTTTTTAGACTGTCAACATTATCTCCCAAAGAAGCTGCCCACACAGTTGTAGTGATATACTCTAAGTATTGAAAAAAAAGAAAAATCAGTTCCTCAAACTGCTTTAACTTGCCTACCATTTTATGACCACTATATAAATTGGGATTTTATAAATGTTCTGATAATCATATAAATCGGCGGTCCCCAACCTTTTTGGGAACAGGGACAAGTTTCATGGAAGACAATTTTCCTCAGAAAGGGGTGGGGGGTGTTTCCAGGATCATTCAAGCACATTACATTTATTGTGCACTTTATTTCAATTATTATTACATAATAATATCTAATGAAATAGTAATACAACTCATCATAATTAGAATCAGTGGGAGCCCTGAGCTTGTTTTTCTGCTGCTAGATGGTCCCATTTAGGGGTGATGGAAGACAGTGACAGTGAGAGATCATCAGACATTAGATTCTCATGAGGAACACCGCAGCCTAGATCACTTGCTTGCACAGTTCCACAGTAACTCCCATGAGAATCTAATGCCGCCATTGATCTAACAGGAGGTGGAACTCGGGAAGTAATGCAAATGATAGGGAGCAGCTGTAAACACAGACGAAGAGTCTCTGGCTCACTTGTCCACTGCTCACCTCCTGCTCTGCAGCCCGGTTCCTAACAAGTCACGAACCACTAATGGTCTGTAGCCCAGAGAACCCCTATGTAAATATCATGATAATATTATATAAAAATTTGTGAGTTAAAAAGTACTAATTTATTCAATCTCAATGTTTTACACATTCCCTCATTTTTAAACTCCATTTTGACATTTCACTATTTCAAAAAAAAATTTTTAAAGGCATCAAAATAATACTGGCCCTGGGTTCATTCTACTTTAAGGTCCCTAAGTAGAATGATAACTTTTGTAATTTGGGGTGATTCCTGGTCTTCTTTTCAATGCTAAAACACTTTGTGCAGTTCTGTTTTCATCAATCTTCACATTTCTTACTCCAAACTAATGTTATAAGTGCTTCCAACTTTGTTTCTTAGTTTGAAGGAAACATTTCTATATCAGGAAACTTCAATTTCAGCAGATGTGTATTCTTTCTGTTATATGAGTTAAAATCTTATCTGCTTCAAAATAGCTCGTGCTAGAGATACTTCAAGCTTTATTAATTGTAGAGAAGATTGTTGCTGATAAACCCTCCTGCTGAGAGCAGCTTTAAAAAATGAACAGAATGCAAAACCTATAAGTTTGAAGGCTTTAGAAAGCTGCCCAGGCAATGAGAACATGAAGAAATAAAATCCCCAGAAGAAGGGAAGTACAAAAAAAGTGAACCTGATTTTCAAGTCTTGAGTACTTTTTACTCAAGTAAGGCACACTTGATTTGAAAGTAGACACTGAGAGGTGAAGAAGCAGGTGAAATGAGGTGGCTAAGATGCTCAGAAGTAAAACAAATCTGGCTTAAGATGCAAAATTAAAGTCCAGAGACCACTAAGGAGGAGGTGCCCTTATAATTACCTCAAATTTTCAGTCAAGACCCCTGAAGGACTATACCTTAGGAGGTTGCATGCACTAACAATATTGTACCATCACAAAGTTGGAGCCCAATTTCAAATCAACTAAATGACTTAGGTAGGTAGACAATCACTGAATAGATTAGGATATTTGCCACCATCAGAACAACCTCCTCACACACACACCAAGCAAAAGTAAATACTCTCTGGAGGACGATAACACTAACCAGATCAACAAATTGGCTCTCGAACTTTTTTAACACAATGTCCAAATTTCAGTAACTCTTAAGAGGCGTGTCTGAAGATAAGTCTAGAAAAACAGACCATGAAAATAAACAGAAAATAGAAACAAATGCAGAAGGACATTCAGAATCAATTGGCTTTAAAACAGCTGTAATTACTTGTTTGAAGAGAGTACATGAAATATAGAAAATTTACACTAGAAAATATTTTTTAATCAAATAGAAATTCTGAAACTAAAAAATAAAATAACTAAAATTACTCAACTGTAGAGGACTAATAGATTAGACACAGAGGTGCAAAGGCAATCCCAGGTGGGAGCCAGAACTGCTCAAAGAAACCAAGAGCAATAGTAAGAGCAAATGTGTGGGTAAACTTGAGTGCATACTGAAGATACGTAATAACAATGGTAATCATCTAACAGAATTTAAAATATAGGTAGAGTCAAAATTCATGACAATAGTAGGATAAAGCATGGAAGAGATATATGTTGAATTAAAGTGTTCTGAAAGTTTTGCATCTTCTTGAAGGTGGTAAAAGTACTAATTAATTATGGACTTTCATCAGTCAAGAATGCTCACCATAATCCTTGAAATAGTCACTAAAAATAGCAATAAAATTAGCAAAATAAAACAAGAAAAATGAAGGAAAAATATGAATCCAAAGATGCCAAAAAGTAGAGAAAAGACATATAGAATGGATAGATAAGTAGAAAGCAAAGAGTAAGAAATCAAATTTAACCCCCCAAATTTGATGATAATAATATGTAAATGCAGTGAGCAGTTATCAGATTAGACTTTAAGGCAAGAAATATTATTGGCAACAAAGAGAGGTAATTTCATAATAAAAGTGTCAATCTTTTTAAAACATTACAATTCTGAATTTGTTGCACTTTTAGTCTCAAATATGCGAAGCAAAATAATGACACAACTAAAGGGAAAATGGACAAATACATTATCATAATAGAAGATTTTAACAAACCTCTCTGATACAGCAAGTGGACAAAAATTCAATATGAATATAATACATTTGAACAATGCTATCAATAAACTTGACTTAATCTATGCACCTTATACCCAGCAAATGCAGAATTCACATCACATGACCAACCTAAATTGACCCAATGGTAGATATAAAGCAAATATAACAAAAATAGTAAGAGTGAAACTACACAGAGTATGTTTTCTGACAAAAGGGACAATTAGGCTAGAAATCAATAACAAAAAGATAACGTTAAAACCTTTACATGTTGATAAGTACTTGACATACTTCTAAATAAATCACAAGCTAAAAAATGAATACAGATGAAAATTAGGAAATACTGTTGTTTGAATGATAATGAAAATTCAATTTCTCAAAACTTTAGTATTACAATTAAAGCCACATTTAAATGCATGTAGTAGCGGTGGAAAGGTGAAATGAAGGAAACTCGGGACAAGCAGCAAGAAAGAAGTAAGAAAAATTAAGCGGAAGTCAATAAAAGATAAAGCAATTATATAATAGAGAAAAATCTACAAGTTGGTCCTTTTGAAGACTAATAAATTTAATAAATCTCTGGAAGGATAGAGAAAAAAGAGTGCACACAATACAAAGATTTTTTTTTTTTTTTAAAGAAGGGGCTTAACTACATACGCATCCTTCAGGTAATAAAATGCTAACAAAAAGATATCATAACAGTTTTAGAGCAATGATTTCAATAAAATGGTAAAATAACTTTAAAAGCCACAATTTATGTACTAAACTGCCACATGAAGAAATATGTAATATAAATAGTTAATATCTAGAGAAACAATTGAAATCTGTAACTACAATCCTTTGAAAAGAAATTTCCAGGCCTAATGATTTTATGTGAATTCTTCTATACATTTAGAAATAACATTAATTTTACATATATTATTCCAGAACACAGAAAAAGAAAGATTTTCTAACTCATCTTTTGAAGTTATTGTAACTTCGATAGCAAAATCCAGTGAGGAAATTACAATAAAGGGCCTAAGCAAAGTCTCCTCTGATTTATATAGACACAAAACTCCTACACAAAATATTAGCAAATAAAATCTAGTGATATATAAATATAAATTATAGCTGGGCATCGTGGCACAAGTCTGTAATGCCAGCACTTAGGGAGGCCAAAGCAAGAGGATTTCTTGAGCTCAACACTGCGGTAAGTTCAACACTGCAGTAAGCTATGATCACAGCACTGCACTGCAGCCTGAGCAACAGAATGAGACCTGCCTCAAAAAAAACAAAACAAAAGAAAAAAATTACACACACACACACACAGACACACACACACACAATAGCACGGCATTATGGTCAGGCGAGAATTATTCCAAGAAGACAAGACATGTAAAAATCAGTGACTGCAATTCACCACATAGACAAAATAGAGGAGAAAAATCATAGGATCATCTCAAATAGAGGCAGAAAAATTGCAATAAAATTCAACATCCATCCATGATTTTTTAAAAGGCACTACAAATGAAGAATAGATGGATACATACAAAATCCTACAGCAAATAACCTGCTTTAATGGGAAAATATTGAATGCTTTCCTCTTGATAGCAAGTATAAGTCAAGGATGCCATCTGTTGCCATTCTTACTAAAGATGTTTTATTGAATCCTAACAGAATGCAGTGAGGCAAAAGAATTAATAAAAGGTATAACTATTGGAAAGAAAGAAATAACACAGTTTTTATTTGCAAAGGACTTGTTTTATACATATCAAATACAAATACTCCACAGATAG